CGCCATCAGGCCGTCTGGCAGAGTGATTGACTACTTCGTCATCTCTCACGTGATCCCCGAAGCACATGCAGAGATCAAGCTTGGATGGGATATTGCGCCCCACTTCCCTGTTGAGCTCAAGTTCAACGCCAGCTCTGTCAACAGGTACATGCAGGTCATGAAGGTGCCGAAGAAGTTCCCGTACCCTTTACCCAAGGCGTGCTGCACCGAGGACCACTCCCAGAGGTGGGCGGAGGCGCGCGGCCGTATGGCGGTGTCACCCTCGCTGGACGGCATGTGGCAGATCTTCATCCATTGCGCGGAGCGGTACTTGCTGGACGCCATTGGCCTCAAGCACGCGTACTACGAGTTTGCTGGACGAGAGCGGCGCCCCTGGCTGGCACTGGTCAAAGTGCTGAAACCAACGGCGCCCAGGCTGCCAAGGGTGGCCATCACCACGTCGCGGTGCAAGAGCGTGGCCATCGCGCTCAAGGATGCCGCTCAGACTGACCTCGGGCTGAAGAGGCACACGGCGCTGAAGGCGCTCGATCGCTTGTGCAGTGCGCAGCCTGACTTCGAGTCCGACACCAGGCAGGAGACGGCGCAGGCCCACATCACCTTGCTGGGCTTTGCGCAGGCGGCGCAGTCCATGGATCTGCCCCAGCTGCAGGTAGCGAGCTTCATCGCCGCCACCATGGCGGACAAGCTGATGCAGCGGGGCGCGGACAAGGCGAAGGCCTGCTTCGCGGACTGGGTCGCCGAGAACCACGCTCGAGGTACGGGGGCCCACCACTCCTGGACCAAACCTCCGCAGGGCTGGCAAGCCAGGATCACTGGCGGCCCAGGGAGCGAGCCTCGTACGCTTTCCCAGACAGTCCAAGCCCTGGTGAAGGAGTGGTCAGGGTCCTGGGGAGTAGGGGCCCCCACGCCGCTGGGGAGTGAGCTCGCACTGGAGCCGCTCGAGTGGCCACGCGATCTCGGTGAGCGACCTGCCCGACCGACGGTGAGCGAGATCAGGGAGGTCATCGCCACTTTCAGGGACTCCAGCGGCTCATCGTTCGACGCGCTGCGGCCGCACGAGCTGGGCGTGCTCGACGACGCTGGGATCGAGGCGCTCATCGACCTGCTGGTCGCCATCGAGCTGCAGTGCGACTGGCCCGCGTTCATCACCAAGATGGCCTTCATCCCCAAGTCGGACGGGGGGCTCCGCCCAATTGCGCTACTGGGGGCGGTGGTACGCATACACGGCAGGCTCCGCAGGCGCATCGCGAAGGACTGGGAGGCGGCGCACGACAGAGACTACTGGTGGGCCAGCTCAGGCAAGAGCTGCGACAGGGCTGTGTGGCAGCAGCAGGCGCGGGCAGAATGGGTCCAGATGATGGGCGAGCTGAACAGAGGCCAGGACTGGGCCTCGGCGTCAGTCATGATGGACCTGTGGAAGACTTTCGAGCAGATCCTGCACGGCAACCTGCAGAAGGCGTGCAGGCAGCACGATTTCCCGCTGTGGCTGGCCAAGCTGCAGATCTCCCTCTATCGGCTTCCCAGGGTCATCAGCCTGGAGTCGTGCTGCTCTGACGAGCTTGTGGTAACGCAGACGGTGTTGGCTGGGGATGCATTTGCCACCACGTTCATGAAGGTCATGCTTCTGACGCCGCTCGACGAGATGAAGGCGGCCTGCCCCACGGTGGTACCTGCTGTCGTGGTCGACGACGTGGTGCTGCAGCGCTGGGGTGGCCTGAAGCGAGTGGCCAAGGACCTCACCATGGCCGCGAAGGCAGTGGCGAAGGGGTTGGCGAAGGTTCACCTGTCCATTGCCGCCAAGAAGTCGCGCGTGCTGGCCAGCAGCAGAGGCCTTAGGGCCACTCTCCAGAGGCACCTGGGCTCGACCACTGGGGCCATCGGTGTCAGAGAAGTGCGCAACCTCGGCATCGACTACACTGAGGGCGGCAGGCGGTCCAGCGTCGTCAGGCGGCACCGCATCACGCAGAACAGACTCCGCCTTCCTCGGATCCGACGGCTCCTGGGGCTACGCAGAGGAAGGGCCACAGCGGCTAAGATCGTATCGGCTGGGCTGGCTCCCAGTCTCTTCTGCGGGATCAACTGCACGGGGCTCAACAATACGGAGCTGCAGCAGGCGCGTAGCATTGTGCGGCACGCCATTGAGCCGAATCCCCATGGGAAGTCGCTCACGGCGTGCTTGCTGGTGGGGGGCTCTCCCACCATCGACCCTCTCTTTGCAGCTACGCTGGCGCCCTGCTTCACGCTGGCGCGCGCTGTGTGGGAGAAGTGGGTGCCGCTGGCGCAGCTCATGCCCGCTTTCGAGTGGGCAGCGAGGTCAACTACTTGCTGGGCAGACGTGCGCGGGCCGCTTGGCGCAGTGGTCATGTCCCTGAGGAGGATCGGCTACGACCCCAGGGCGCTCGATTGCATCGTCAGGCCGAATGGTACGATCATCAACCTACTGGAGGTCTCCCCGTGGTATGCCAAGCAGTGCATCACGATGGACGTGAAGGCGTGGCAGATGAAGCTCTTGGCAGACGGCACGCACGCTGATGTTAGCAGAGGCATCTTCGTCTCGCAGTTGCGGCGGTGGTTTGCCAAGGGTGTTGGAAGTTCCAGCCTGGCCGAAGGCTGGGAGCCTCTCAACTGCAGCCAGCGAGGGTACGCGCGCTCGGTCTTCGTCCTCGGGCAGTGGCCGAACAGCAGGAGGTACCACGGTGCTCCGCGGCTCTCGCATACGCCGTATTGCCAGCTGCACCCAGAGCAGCCTGGCACTCTCTGGCACAGGCACACCGCCTGCCAGGACAGCTGGCCGAGTTTGGCGCTGCCAGCCGAGATCAGCAAGCTCGTCCCCTTCAGCACCAGCGTGACCATCACTACGCTCCTGGAGAGGCTGGTCCTGCCCGAGCCCCTACACGAGTGGCGTCCGCCTGGAGACGACCTCCTTGCGCACGTGCAGTGGCTCAAGGGCGGCGACGGTTTCCCGTTTTCCAACACCACGGCCTACTCCGACGGAGCGGTCTACGACGCTGGGACATCGCCGGCGGTGGGGGCTTGCGGAATGGTGCAAAGGCTTGACTGCGAGGGGCGAAGCCAGCACCACCAAGGCGACTTCTGCCTGGGGGTGCATCTGGAGGCGAGTCTGGGCGGCGCTTGACGACTTCGGCGGCATTGGGCCCCAGGGGCTCACGATTCAGAAGGTGAAGGCGCATGCCTCTGCGGCCATGGTTCAGAAAGGAGACATCACGGCCCGCGACAGGCGTGGCAACTGGGAGGCCGACCGTGCTGCAAAGGCAGTCGCTGCCGCAGTGAGGGCACCACTCGAGCTGCGTGAAGCCTGGCAACGGCGGTCTCTCACGCTGGACGGGGTCGTGCACTGGGTCGCGCGCGCTGGGTGTGAGGCGGCTGACCTGAAGCTGGACATCGACCCTAACTGCAAGCCTATTCACAAAGGGCCGCCTCTCAGCGTCACCAGGCACGACGTGGTCAAGGTGGCTGGCGACGGTGTGCACTGCAGGGCCTGCCTCAAGACGGCCTACACCGACCTCAGCATCAAGAGGCTGCTCAAGGACCCATGCGTTGGCAAGCCGTTCGCGCCCGTGGCAAGCGGCGCGAGGCGCAAGCCAGCTGCTTCGGCCCTGGCGTCTGCAGGCGCGGTGGCGGTGGCGCTGGCAGCGGCGCACAGGCTTGAGCAGGAGGCCCAGAGCACGCAGGACGACGAGATTGTGGTGTCCTCCGAGCCAGAGGCCCAGCAGATGGCGCCGAGCCCCGTCGCTGCCGCTCGGGAGCCTCCAGCTGAGGCAGCAGCGGCAGGCGGGGGCAGCAGCAGTAGCAGCGGCCAGGACCTCTCGCCTGGCGCCGCCCTCATGCACGCAGTGGGCGCCGCCCGCGCCGCGCGCGAGCAGCCAGCAGAGGCGTCAGCGGCTGGCGGGGGCAGCAGCAGCAGCAGCAGCGGCCAGGACCTCTCGCCTGGAGCTGCTCTCATGCGTGCGGTGGCCGCCGCCCGCGCAGCTCGCGAGGCTCAGGGCGCCCTGCGCGCGGGCCCCGCTGGCGGCCGGGCGGACGCGGGCCCCGCGGTCGCCCAGGACGCCATGGAGGTGGACGAGCCTGGTGGGTCAGGCACCCAGGAAGCCGAAGGAGTGGGCCATGCGCTCCTCAGCATCAACGGCTTCAGGATCTGCACGCGCTGCAAGGCGTACGCCAAGGAGATCAATGGCAAGCACAGGACGCTCGGCAAGACGTGCGTCGCAGCCTCAGGCAATGCGCTGCGCCTGCGCAACCTGGAGGTCGCTAACATCAGGGCGGGCTTGGACCCAAAGACGGGCAAGCGCCTAAGCGATTGAGTTGGGGAGTGCCTTCGGTGGTCTGAGCCTGTTCAGGCTCGGCACGGGGTGGGTGGTGGCTCGTGCGGCTGCCTCACCTGACGGCGCATACCCATGCAGCGCGGCGTGCGCGCTGTTTTTCGGAGGCCGCTGTTTGCGGGCCTCTTCGCCGCATTTTGCGGCTCGCCATTTTGGCGGCAGGATCGGTTCGTGCTGCACGGGCTGCCTTGTCATTTTTTTAAAAAAAAGGTGGGTCTAATCCGCAATGTTTTATGTACGTCTGTTGCTATAGATTGCGCCTCTCCTGGGGCACGAAACCTTCCTAGGAGGTCCCAGGAGGTCCCAAGAGGCTCCTGGAGACCCCAGGAAGCCCCTGTAGGTTTCAGGAGGCCCCAGGAGGCCCCAGGCTCATGCACAGAGACGCGCTCGTACTACTGAGGCTCATTCACACTCCAATTCATGCGCAGTTAGATTGATGTCCAGACCGTCACAACTGAAGCCCGTTAATATTCGAAAGCTCTTGCGCCTAGACATTCACGGCGGACAGGTCCATGCGAGTAGATGCACATATGGGGAGCTCCACGCAGTGAATAATTTTTTCCTTTCATTTTTCGTCCAAAATCCGCCTGTAGGAGGACATGCCCGACCTAAGCCCAGTCGCCGCCGCGCCTCGCTCACAGCGGCCGCTGCAGCGCCCAGGAGCAGGCGCGGCAGGAGGCGCTGCGGCTCGCCTCGGAGGCGGAGGAGCGCCGGGCTCCCCTCAGAACTCCTGCGCCCTGGCATTGTTCGGACGCGCGCGTGTGTGTGTGTGTGTGTGTGTGTGTGCTCTTTTTCTTCCCGGAGTGCTCGCAGAGAGCTGAGACCGCACCCGTCGGGGGTGGACAGACCTCCTACCCTGACACGTCGATTAGTGAATTGTCCGTTTGCGGTTCTCGAGAGGGCGCGGCGGCCGTCATTTTCCAGGCTTGCGCCCGCCAGGTTTGGGCCCGAGGTCGTTTTCACTAAACCATGTTTTACTAAAGGGAGGTCTGTCCATCCCCGAACCTGCAGGGAGCTTCCGTCCGAGCTGCGGCTCCAGGGGTGCCCTGCGGTGCCGGCTTCGGATTGGAAGCCGGCACTGCAAGGCAGCCCTGGAGCTCCTTCTGGCTTCCGGCAGGAGCCCCCGCTGCGCGCAGCCTCCTGGGACCCCGCGGCGGGTCCCGGGAGGCCTCGTCTGGGCGTTTCCCAATTCCAGTTCGGGTGCCCGGAAGCTCTCCAGGAGCTCCTTCGGAAGCTCCTTCCAAGAGCTTCCGAACCTCCTTCAAGGGGGTCTTGGAGGCCTCGCTGGTGCTCTTCTACCCAACGCTTTGGACTCCACATCCGAGCGATGGCAAGACGCACCCTGAGATCAGTCGGCGTCTGGTGTCGGACGCCGTTGATCTGGCGCGGTGCCCCGCCGCCTTGACGCAGTGTCGGGAGCCAGCGCAGACGTCCAAGGTCGAATCGGGACCAGAAATATTTATCTTTCACTGGTTGTTTGGGTTTTCGATCGCAGACGCTTCATTGAATTATTACACGGCGCGCTCTTCGTTTCGCTACCCGCTGCCTCCTTGGAGCGCGTAAGTCAAGCGAGCGTGGCCATCGCAAGATGCTGCTGGGATCCTCGAGAACGACGCGCGCATGGCCCTTCGGTTGGTTCGAGCGGCCCCCGAACAGGCATTGAGGCCGCATGTGCCCATACAGCCGCGGCTTGATCCCGTTCAATCAGCGCGTATTTCAAGGCTGCCCGGCAATGTCGATGGGAATCTTCGCGCCCAAACGAATCTGTGCACCGTTAATCTCCTCAGGCCTCAGGCGCAGGACTGCGCGCGCCGCGCCGAAGATCGGTGCGCGCGCTCAAGCGAGGACGCGGCCCTGCGTCGATCGGCCCGCCGCCTCAGGGCGCGCGCGGCGTCCGCCCCTGGAGCCCCCGCCAGGCCGGATTGGTGAAATGAAAGATTTTGTTGTTTTGGGCGGACCAAAACCGCAAAATCTGTCATTTCACCGGTCGCGGGTCTGGGTTGCGTCCTTGTCCGGGGCGGATACGAGTGGTTCCTTGCGTGCTTCTGCGGGGGGCTCGCTCTAGGGCGTATCGGGCGTCCCTCGAGGCCTGTCGCGCTCTTCCTCGGGTTCTCCTGCTGGCTCTCCCGAGGGCCCCGTGGAGCTATTGGGCCCACTTGCGTCGATGAGGAAGCTCGTGGAGACGTCTCGGCGACGGATTGGGGATCTGGGCTTCACCAGACGCCCAGGGTCGTTTCTAGGCGCGTTCAGGCCGACGTGAACCCCCCCGCAATCCCCGGCCGCCCAGAGAGCGCCATTGGCGCCTGAAGGGTTTCCTGCAGGCGGCGGGTCATGGTGTCCAATTGTCGTGCGATGCCGTGCTGGGCGCCCCTTCGAATCGCAAGCTCGGTCGATTCGCACAGCTGGCGTCGCGTCGCGCAGATGTCGGCCGCATCGCGATCAGCGATGATTTGGGCATGAGGGCCAGTAGAGTAAAATCTACAGGCCGACCAGCGAAAGATAAAAATTTCCGGCCCTCATCGAACGCCGCCGGTGGCCCGGTATCGGCCGACCCTGGCTGGTATCGGCCGATCTTGGAGGGGGAATATTCAAAAAATAGCAAAAAAGTCGGGGGACTTTTTAAGAGTAGTTTTGAGATGTTTTGTTTGTTTGTAATGTTTGTATGAGTAGTAGCCGTTTTTTGTAGTTTTTGAATGTTTGTGCATTTTTTGTAATTGTTCGTACTTTTGTATGTTTTGAGTGTGTTTTTCTATTTTTTAGCATCTGTTGTAGGAGTGTTCAAAATACTATTGTTCATCTGTCGTCCAAAATCGGGAATAGCCGCGGCCTCTCGAGGTGGAGAGTGTCGACGCCCTTTTGGCAGCGCGAGTCCACCGTGCGCAGGCCAGGCTCGCAGTTGCGCGAAGCCACAGCTTATGCCTTGGGTGCCGTGCGGCGGTCGGATTTTCCGGCAGCGGCGCACCGCCCGAAGATCGGGGGAACGTATGGCTCAAGTACGCCGGAACTCTGGTCTGGCGACGCTTTTTGACGAGCGCGTCCGGGATTTTGAGGGTCCGATTCTCGTGGGATGTTTGCAGCGAGAGGTCGCGTCAAATTTCAGAGTGGACCATGTCATTTTCGCGGCGGCCCCGTCAGGCCAACCCGAGTCCCCCGTCCTTTGCATTTTTGCCCCTTCGGCCCATCCTTAGTCAGAGCGTGAATTACCTACCCCGCTTTCGCTTCCAGGCAAAACCAAGTCATACCATACGCCTCCTCGTCAAGCGGCCTGACCAGTACAGGCTGCAATTTGGCATCGTTTGGTATCTCTTGGAAGCGAGGGTGGTCAAAAGCGAGGTAGGTTTGTTTTCCCCCGATTTGCACCTTTGCCCCTTCGGCCCATCCTTAGGGACGTTCCCTGGCCAGCCTCGTTCGGAGAACGTGCCCACGGGCCTCCAAGGCCCTTTGCATCCTTACCGCGCATCCTTATGATGCGGGTGGGCTGTACCGCGCTAGCCTTCGCCCGTCTTCCTTTTTTGGGGGGCCTTGGCACGTGGCGCCCAGGAGTTGCCACAGACGTGGGGTGGGGGGCCAGGACTTCCCTCCTCCTCCTCCTCCTCCTCCTCTTCCTCCTCCTCCTCCTCCTCCTCCTCCTCCTCCTCCTCCTCCAAGTCCTACCCGTCCTCCTCCTCCTTCTCCTAATTACTCCTCCTCCTCCTCCTCCTCCTCCTCCTCCTCCTCCTCCTCCTCCTCCTCCTCCTGGGATGCTGGTCGGAGCGCGCCCCGGGAGCGAGGTCCGGGGAGCGGCGGTAGCGGTAGCTTTTGGTTCCCCCATGGCCTGTGGGACCCCTTTGGCGTCGCTCGGGCGTGTGCATTTTTCTGTCGGCGAGGACCATCGAGGAGCATCCTTGATCACTTGGCGACAAATCCACGCACGATTTTTTTTATATATATATATAACAGAAAGAAAAAACAAAAAAACAAACAAAACAAACAGGGAATGGACGTCCGAGCGATGGCGAGACCCTCGGAGGAGGCCCGGGGCTGGGCGGGCTCGCTGGAGCAGAAGCTGGCGGCCCAGGCCGAGGCGTCCGAGGCGCAGCGCGGCGCGCCAGCTGCCGGCGCCGCCCGCGCAGGGGAGGCCACGGAGCTGCTGGCCCGCGGCGCCGACGCGGAGAGCTCGCAGCAGGAGATCTCCCGCCTGACGGCCGAGGCCGAGGAGCGAGGAAGGACAAGCGACACGAGCACGGGCTGTCTTAGGCGGCCGTTGGGAGGAGGAGGAGGAGGAGGAGGAGGAGGAGGAGGAGGAGGAGGAAGAAGAGGAGGAGGACGAGAAGGAGGAGAGGAGATGAGTAGGAGGAGGAGGAGGAGGAGGAGGACGGGGACGGGGAGGAGGATGAGCTAGGAGGAGGAGGAGGAGGAGGAGAGGAGGAGGAGGCTCCTGGGTCGGCGCTGGGCCTCCCCCCCCCCTTCGGCGCGGCCCCGGTGCGCCTCGCCGCGCGCCGGGGGGGGGGCTCGGCGCCGACCCCGGGGCGTCCACCACGCGGAGCTCCGAGGGCTGAGGTGCAGAGCGTGCAGTGGGAGCCCATGCCGAGAAACACCCCTGATAGGGAAAGGGGGGGTACGAAATCTGCTGCATGCAGTTGGTTTCGGCCCCACCGAGGGGCCCATTCCTCGATACAGAGCCGCCACCTGGCGCCGGGAGGCACCGGGAACATCAGCCACGTGAGCTGATTCGGAAGGCGGATGGACGCGGAGCTCCGAAGGCTGAGGTGCAGACCGTGCAGTGGGAGCCCCTGCCGAGAAACACCCTGCCTCAAGCAGTGGCGAAGCGCCCCGGTTCGCCTATAGCCCCACCAAAGAAGGTTCTAAGAACCTTTTTGTGGCTCCCAGAAAAAATGTTCTCAGAACATATTTCTGGCGGAGTCCGTCTTGTTTTGACACATCGGGCCTATGTTCTAAGAACATGGTTTTTGTTCTTAGGACATGTTTGGGGTTCTAAGCACATGTCGTGGTAGGACTATAGGAATGCCGGGACGGTCGGTCCCTGCTCAACTGCCTGCCTCCGGGGTGCCCTGGGTTTCTGGGGTCTCGATGGTTTTGCGATGGGAAGCGTGGCGTTCCCGCACCAAAAATCAGTGGACGTCCTGGGGTCCCAGGGCAGGGGCTCTTGTGGGAGGTGTTTCTGGTGGGCTGGCCTCCGCTGCACGCCGTCTGCTCTGCTCTTCTGCTGCGCCCTCCGCCCGACGTGCAGCGTCCGTTGGAGTTGGCGCGGAGCGTGGCCCGCCCTGGCTTTCGCCGCAGTGGCGTCGCGCGGCCGCGGGAGGCGACGTCAGTTCTGCTCCTCCGGAGGAGGCGCGGGCCCGCGCCTCCGTTCTGGAGGCCGAGGCCGCCGACAGGGAGAGGCTGCAGCAGGAGCTGTCCAGGCCTCGAGGGGAAGAAGGGAAGGCGCGCGAGGCGACGGCCTGGGAGGCCTCGCGCGGCCACGGCCGGAGCCGCCTCGAGCAGCGGGCCCCTGGCATCGCTCGGACGTGTGCATTTTTCCTTCGGCGAGGGCCGTCGAGGAGCATCCTTGATCATTTGGCAGAAAAACCACGCACGAAACCGACAAAAAACACAGGAAATGGACGTCCGAGCGATGGCGAGGGCCGGGGGAGGGACCCAGGGAGGGGTCCGGCGGCTGGTTTGGGGCGGGCTTGGGCTGGGCCAGCGGGCCGCCGTGGTCTCAACTGGCCCTCCTCCGAAGACGTGGTCCGAAGCCGACAGCGCCCGCTGATGGTCAAGCAGTGGCGAAGCGTCCTGGCTCGCCTATAGCCCTACCAAAGAATGTTCTAAGAACCTTTGTGGTTCACACGAAATGTTCTTGGAACATTTCAGGTGGAGCCTGTCTTGTTTTTATATATATATATATATATATACACAAATATAGATATCGGGCTTATGTTCTAAGAACATTGTTTTTGCTCTTAGAACATTTCTGGGTTCTAAAACAGTTTGTGGAGGACTAATTATAGGAATGCCGGGACGGTCGGTCCCTGCTCAAGATGGGCAGACGACGGCGGTCGCCACGGGGCAACGCCCGCGGCGGCACCAACAGAGAGGTTTGGACGAACTGGGTTCCTTCGTCCCCCGTCCTCCCGTCCCTTTTTCTCGGGCTGGGCGAAAGGGGGGGATTGGGAAAGGGGGGGGTACGAAATTTGTTGCATGCATCTGGTTTCGGCCCCACCGAGGGGCCCCTTCCTCGATACAGAGCCGCCTCCGGCGCCGGGAGGCGCTGGGAAAATCAGCTACATGAGCTGATTCTCAAACCCCCCCTTTCGCCCGACCCGAGTTCCTTCGCCCCCAGTCCTCCCGTCCCAAGTTCGCTCGTGCCGATCTCCAGGGCGGCCACAACACAGCGGGGGACCAGCGCCAGCCCCAGGCAACTCCGCGCAGACTTCTGGCAGTGTATTTCTATGTAGGGTTTTGATGGTTCCTGTAAGGCTGGCGGCCGAGGCCGAGGAGTCGCGGGCGCGCGCCTCGTCTCTGGAGGCCGAATGCGCCGACAGGGAGCGGCTGCAGAATGAGCTGTCCAGGGTGAGGGCCGAGGCCGAGGAGTCGCGGGCCGACAAGGAGGTGCTGCAACAGGAGGTGTCTAGGCTGAAGACCGAGGCCGAGGAGTCGCGGGCGCACTCGTCGTCTCTGGAGACCGATGGTGCCGACAGAGAGAGGCTGCAGGAGGAGCTGTCCAGGGCGAGGGCCGAGGCCGAGGAGTCGCGGGCCGACAAGGAGGGGCTGCAACAGGAGGTGTCTAGGCTGAGGGCCGAGGCCGAGGAGTCACGGGCGCGCGCGTCGTCTCTGGAGGCCGATGGTGCCGACAGGGAGAGGCTGCAGGAGGAGCTGTCCAGGGTGAGGGCCGAGGCCGAGGAGTCTCGGGGCGACAAGGAGGGGCTGCAACAGGAGGTGTCTAGGCTGAGAGCCGAGGCCGAGGAGTCGATGACGCGCATGGCAGCGGTGGAGTCCGAGGCTTCCGAGAAGGAGAGAATGCAGCAGGAGGTCTCTAGATTGACGGTCGTGGTGGAGGAGTTGCGGGCGCGCACCTCCGCGTCGGAGGCCGAGATTGTAGAAGCAGAGAGGTTGCAGCAAGAGATCATTCGATTGGCGGCCGAATCTGAGGAGTCGCGGGCACGCGTCTCCGTCTTGGAGGCGGAGGTCTCCGAGAATGAGCGCCTGCAGCAGGAGATCTCCAGGCTGACGGCCGAGGTCGAGGAGTCGCGTGCACGCGCCTCCGCTCCCGAGGCGGGGGGGGGGTCGGGCGAAGAGAGAGCTCTGTGTGCCCATGCGCCGATCCCGTCGAGGCCCAGCCTGGGCTCAGGACGGGCCCGACCGGGGTGGGCGTGTGTGCACAGCCAGGTTTTTAAGTCCTTACAGCCAGGTCCCTGTCTCCTCGGAAAAAACACACTTTGGGAAAAACACACACACACACACAAACACGTGGGAAAAAACAAACACACACACACACACACACCGTGTGTTTTTTCCCCACTGTGTGTGTGTGTGTTTTCCCCCCACGTGTGTGTTCGCGTGTGTTTGTGTGTGTGTGTGTGTGTGTTCGCGTGTGTTTGTGTGTGTGTGTGTCAGTGAATGCGTGTGTGTGTGTGTGTGTGTTTGTGTGTGTGTGTGCGTGTGTGTGTGTGTGTGTGTGTGTGTGTGTGCGTGCGTGTGCGTGTGCGTGTGCGTGTGCGTGTGCGTGTGCGTATGCGTGTGCGTGTGCGTGTGCGTGTGCGTGTGCGTGTGCGTGTGCGTGTGCGTGTGCGTGTGCGTGTGCGTGTGCGTGTGCGTGTGCGTGTGCGTGTGCGTGTGCGTGTGCGTGTGCGTGCGTGCGTGCGTGCGTGCTGCGTGCGTGCGTGCGTGCGTGCGTGCGTCGTGCGTGCGTGCGTGCGTCCGTGCGTGCCGTGCGTGCCGTGCGTGTCGTGCGTGCCGTGCGTGCGTGCGTGCCGTGCGTGCCGTGTGTGCCGTGCGTGCCGTGCGTGCGGTGCGTGCCGTGCGTGCCGTGCGTGCGGTGCGTGCGTGCGTGCCGTGCGGCCGTGCGTGCCGTGCGTGCCGTGCGTGCCGTGCGTGCCGTGTCGTGCCGTGCGTGCCGTGCGTGCCGTGCGTGCCGTGCGTGCCGTTCGTGCCGGGGGGGGGGTGCGTCGTGCGTGCCGTGCGTGCCGTGCGTGCCGTGCGTGCCGTCGTGCCAAGTGCGTGCCAAGTGCGTGCCAAGTGCGTGCCAAGTGCGTGCCAAGTGCGTGCCAAGTGCGTGCCAAGTGCGTGCCAAGTGCGTGCCAAGTGCGTGCCAAGTGCGTGCCAAGTGCGTGCCCCGTGCGTGCCGTGCGTGCCGTGCGTGCCGTGCGTGCCGTGCGTGCCGTGCGTGCCGTGCGTGCCGTGCGTGCCGTGCGTGCCGTGCGTGCCGTGCGTGCGGTGCGTGCGGTGCGTGGCGGTGCGTGCGGTGCGTGCGGTGCGTCGGTGGCGTGCGGTGCGTGCGGTGGCGTGCCCGGTGCGTGTCGGTGCTTGCGTGCGGGCCGTGTGTCGTGCCGTGCGTGGCGGTGCGTGCGTGGCGTGCGGTGCTTGCGGTGCTGCGGTGCGTGCGTGCGTGCGTGCGTGCGGTGCGTGCGGTGTGTGCGGTGCGTGCGGTGCGTGCGTGCGTGCGGTCGTGCGGTGCGTGCGGTGGCGTGACGGTGCGTGCGGTGCGTGCGGTGCGTGCGGTGCTGCGGTGCGTGCTGTGCGTGCGGTGCGTGCGGTGCGTGCGGTGCGTGCGGTGCGTGCGGTGCGTGCGGTGTCGTGCGGGTGCGTGCGGTGCGTGCCGTGCCGTGCGTGCGTGCCGTGCGTGCCGTGCGTGGCCGTGCGTGCCCGTGCGTGCCGTGCGTGCGTTCGTGCCGTGCGTGCGTGCGTGCGTGCGTTGGCTGCGTGGTGCGTGCGTGCGGGTGGGTGGGTGGGTGGGGGGGGGGGTGTGTGTGTGTGTGTGCGTGTGTTTTTGTGTTTTTTCCCGCAGAGTCTGCGAAGGAGCGGCCGCCGCGGGGGCCGGCCACGGCGGCCGGGCCCGAGGGGCCGGCGCCCCCCGCCGAGGCCGAGGCCGAGGCCACCGACGCGGAGGGACGGCGGCCGAGGGCGCCGCTGGCCGCCGAGCTCGCCGAGGCGCGCGCCCGCGCGGGCGCCCTGGAGGCGGAGCTGGAGGGCAGCCGCCGCGCGGTCGCGCAGGCGGTGCCCCTCTCGCAGCCGCGCGCGCGCGCGCTGGCGCCTTCCACGGGGAGGGGGGGGGGGGATGGAGGAGGAGGAGGAGGGGAGGAGGAGGGGAGGAGGAGAGGAGGAGGAGGAGGGGAGGAGGAGGAGAGGAGGAGGAGGAGGAGGAAAAAAAGAGGGGGGGGAGGAGGGGGGGGGAGGGGGGGGAGCCTCCGTCCTGCAGGGGGAGGGAGCGGTGTGCCGACGTGTGCCGCGAAGGGCTCCTGCCTCGCTATTGTTTCGCCTTCTCTGGAGCCACGCGTTGCCACGGCTGGGAGTCGCCGCCGTCTCTCCCCTGGGCAGAGCGCACGCCGCGAGGGGTCCGGGGAGCAGCGGCATCAGTATATGGGCAGCTGTCGGCTTCCCCAGGCCTGGGGAAACCGACAGGTGCGAAGTTGGCCCGAAGCTGCCATCCTCCTCCTCCTCCTCCTCCTCCTCCTCCTCCTCCTCCTCCTCCTCCTCCCCTCCTCCTCCTCCTCCTCCTCCTCACTCCTCCTCCTTCTCCCTCCTCCTCCTCCTCCTCCTCCTCCTCCTCCTCCTCCTCCTCCTCCTCCTCCTCCTCCTCTCGGGGCAAGCATGTGCTGGCTCGCCCACTGACAGCGGAGAGCACAGAGGCCCCTGCCGGCAGGGCCAATGTCGCACGCGCGCGCGCGTCTTCCACGGGGAGGCGCCCTGCAGGGCAGAAGAAGTGCACGGTGCCGACGCCTCTCCCTCGTCTTCGCCCCTTGGGGCCTCCTGCGGGGGGAGGCCCCCGTTGCCTGCGCTGGATTCGCCTCGGAGTCCTGGCCAGGTCGCACCGCAGGAGAGGTCTGGGCTCTCTGCGGTCTGCCGCGTTGCTCCTCCCAGCCCCAGCGCGGAATGTGCCATGGTGTTGCAGCCTCCTCTGCATCGAGCTGCTGCCTTGGCCGAATGCTCCGGGGCCTCCATTCCGGAACTCCTGCCCCAGGTGTGGTTCTCCACACCGGAGGGGAGGTGGATCGTGGTCGTTTACTGCAGGCTCAGCGGCCCCAGCGGGTTGCATCTCTGCGTCGGCCAGGTGATGGCATTCCAGTTCGCATCCCAGGGCTGCAGGCTATGAGGCAACGCATGGCAGCAAGGAAGGAGCCAGGATGATGACCGCGTCAAGCGTTGTACCCCTCTCTGGTGAAGCAAGAACGGAAAATGGCAGAGGACGGGACGGCAGGGTCCGTTTCGACCGGATCGATCCGATTCGATGTTGGACCCGCCAGCCCTATTCGGCTGGATTCCGCTGCTGCGACGATCCAGTTCGGCCATGTGCTCGCGTGGCCGTCGCACGGCGCTGCTTTCAGGCCTGGTGCGGCCGAGTCGATCCCATTCCAGCCCCGTTCCGATGCAGCCCGATCCGACACACATTCCGATCCGACTCCAGACTTGCCGTGTCTTGATTTTTTCCACACGCGGTGCCCAGAAGCCGTGGAGGCCTCCCATGGGGCGAGATTTGGCGAAATCTTGCCTTCGTGTTTTTGTTACGGTCCTGGGGCCCGGCGAGGGCTCCCATGGGCCAAAATTCGACAACTCCCTGCCGTGTGGGGACTTTGGAGGGCTGCTTGGGGGCCTCTTGGAGCTTCGGGGGTGGACATCTTGGGGGCCTCTTGAGGCCCCGTGGGGGCCTCTCGGAGGCCTCCTGGGGCTCCTCGGGGGCGTGCTCCTGTGTTGATGAAGGGCTGCTTGGGGGCCTCTTGGAGCTTCGGGGGTGGGCATCTTGGGGGCCTCTTGAGGCCCCGTGGGGGCCTCTCAGAGGCCTCCTGGGGCTCCTCGGGGGCGTGCTCCTGTGTTGATGCATGGCTGCTTGGGGGCCTCTTGGAGCTTCGGGGGTGGGCATTTGGGGGGCCTCTTGAGGCCCCGTGGGGGCCTCTCGGAGGCCTCCTGGGGCTCCTCGGGGGCGTGCTCCTGTGTTGATGAAGGGCTGCTTGGGGGGCTCTTGGAGCTTCTGGGTGGGCATCTTGGGGGCCTCCAAGAGGCCCCGTGGGGGCCTCTCGGAGGCCTCCTCGGGGCTCCTCGGGGGCGTGCTCTTGTGCTGGCGCTGGCGCTCCGGTCGCGCCCCGGGGCCGCCGCCTGCCGACGGAGGCCTCCACGGCCTGGCCGTGCCCCCCTCCGCTGCCGCTGGCTCCTCTACGGGGCGTGAAAACGACCACAGCCACTGCTTTTCTTTTGTTGCCGCCGTGCAGCCAGCAGAAACAAAGCAGTGGTTGTGGTCATTCCGTGAAGCTTGGCACCGGGGAGGTGCCCACAGCCACTGCTTCTTTTTCGGCCGGCTTGAAGGTGGCGCAAACAAGAAGCAGTGGCTGTG